ATGAAACTGTTAAGCTGCATTGGAAGGCAACTAGTTAAAACTTCAAAAGAATGCAATTCCTGAAGTAGCACCAATGACAACATCTTCTATATATATGATGAAGATGCAATATGATTGTTGGCGTCACATTTAAAAGTTTCCTTTGAACAGTGAATAGATGCATTAGTGATGGAAAATTTGTAACGCAATTAGCAAAACCAGCATGCTTTTGGCATCTTTCAAACAAATAGGAGGAATAAAAGTTTTAAAAAGTTCAAGTTTTGGGTCATACAGCAGACAGTAATTGTGCTCTGCGGTACCAAGACAGCTCCTCATTCCTTAGAGTTTGCACTCGAGATTGAAAGCTCTTTTCCCATGCATAACATCTAAACGTTTTTCCAGAACAGACCAGTAAAATCATTGTTGATGGCATAACAATGCATTTAAATAAAAGGGGATCAAATTCATCCATTCTTCACAGTGTCCATAGCAGCTAAAATTTCATTCATGAGGCTAACTCTCTTGTCAGTCCACTGCAGTCCTTCCTTGGTCATTTTTCGCATTTTGCTAATGACAACGGTCTGTCCTCAGGAGACAGAATGAGCATTAAAGACACAATAAATGAAAGATTAAACAAAAATTTCAGGATGGACAGTGTAGAAAACAATGGCATAAAGGCATCAGAAACCATTGATTTGTGATATCATATTGTTTAAAAATTGGAAATGGACTTTTCTTACCTGTAGAGGAACCATAAGAAGTAGAATTAATGATCCAAGAAGTGAAGCACCACCAAGTTGCTTGTACAGAAGAACCATAGACATGACAATACGAAATGGAGATGACCATAATCCATGAAGTTGTTGGCAGATTTGCTGGACAAAAAACAGGTACATCAATCACAGCTTCATGATCTAATCCCTCTTCCCAACCCCAAAAGAACAAACTAAAATATGGAATTAAAAATTATGGTGGTACACTTTCAATTGCTTAGACAGTGATTTGCTGATCAAAAAAGAAAATTGCTTAAGATAAAACTTAGAAAGTTACAATAGGACATCTTTCAGAAATGGCAGTTTAACAGTTCTTTTTATTTATTTGTTTTTTTGCTGCAACAGATTAGCAGTTTAAAACATCAATTTTAACAGCATTTGACCATGCAACAAGGACTTCATGTGTATGACCTCTGAATTATGCAATGGTATAAATTGACAAGCCAAAGTATATTTGATTTATCCCATCTCTAGAGGGCGTAAAGACATTGTAAAATTTATTTAATGTTTGAAATCTCAAGCTGTATTTTTATGCAGCTAAATCACGCAAAGTTACTAGAATTAAGATATCTACATTGTAGATTCATAAAGGTGTTAAAAATGAGTCAATTAGACTTACAAAGTAGTATAGATGCATACCTGAAGAGCATTAGTGTCTGTTGTGATCATATTTGTTATCTTTCCTGAGGGGAAATTCTTGCGAGCCTCGTGAGTTAGTCTCAAAGATTTTCGAAACACAGCAGCCACCTACAATAGAAACAATTGAATATAAGGAAGTTACCACTTTGAAATGGCTCTAACTCATTTAGCAAACCTCCAATAGAACTTCCATGCAGGAAACCATGCTGTACATGAAAGAAAAATGAGGTTGAGCCTGTTGATTGAAACAAGCTCCACACAGGTCTAAGTTTTTGTGAGATGGAGGAAGAAGTTTACCAAAGTTGAACGCAGACGGAAACCAACACGAAAGACATTTTGAAAATATTGGGCTTCACATAACACGCCACATGACTGACACAAGTTAAATTAAGTGGTCAATATAAGAACTACAACAGGAGCAGCCCAAGATAATCATTTCCTTAAATTGGATTCATATAATAAACCCTGATAAAGTACAGGATAGGAATCATACCACACCAACAAAAATTAAGAAGGAATAAATATAGCCAATCCAAGCAGGGTCACCTTGTTCCATTGACTGCAGACATAAAAAGGGAATGATGAACTTCTCTTGGGCTAACGTAGCACAAGGCATAAAATGCAGAAAGTTATGCCTGAAGTGAATTGTGTTAATATCTATAAAAATCAAACACATTAGAAGGTCTTTCCAGAGTAAATCAGTATATATATTTCTAGCCAATAGTATGGTATAAAAGAATCAATTGCTTCTAATCTTAACGTAGAAAGAATTATTGAAATCAAAACAAGTGTATTCAAACATATTGTAAATAATAAACTTCTTCCACTTTACCTCTGTATATTTGTTAGTATTTTTGTTGACCACTATGAAACTTCCATATTTTATTGTCATCTAGAATGATGTTTTAAATGTAATTCACAAAATCTAGCATATGGTTAAACAACAAGCAAATAGATAAGGAATCTTCCAAATATATGAAAATGAAAAGTATGAAGCTATAACCTGTAAGAGTTGGTTCAACAACAGTGGCCCCACAAACTGAGAAAGGTTGTTACTGATCTATAATGTTCAAATGAGAAATAATAAGCTGCTTACATTCAGAAATATATAATTTCAAGATTCTCCAACTACAAAAATGTCCATGAATGGTAAATTCTTCTTATTAAACAAGCCTTCATGTAGCTTTCTAGAAGAGTAGGTCATCTATACAGAACATGCATGATTTAAATGTCCTTAATTTGTCAATGATCAAATACCAATCAAGACCAAAAATTGGGTAACAAGCTCATTACCTTGAACAAGCCTCCCAACCAAAACCTGCAGGAGACATTTATATAAGAAGAAGTTAATTGAGGTTGAGAGAGGTCAAGAAAGAGATTATATCTACTGTTGTAGGAAGATTCGTTGGAAGAAGTTTATTGATAAAGAGGAAAGGAGAAATGACAATGTAGTTTGTAGATACCTTCCCCCTAGGCTATTATTCAGTGCCCTTAAAAGCCAGGGCTTCTTTTTCTGAGTTTCTTCAGCCTAACTTCTTTGTGAACCTGCAGAGGTCAGACTATTAGACACATTGAACAACAGTAAAAACTCATGCAGTAGCAGGTGCAACAGAAGCAGTAGAATACAAACTTCTTCGTCAGTGTTTCTGTCTGATCCCATGTGTCTAACTTCCAGACATCCTTTTCAGTTATAGGTCTTCTATATCCTATCTGCATCAGTGCCGTGATCCATCCAAAATATATTCCTATCAAAGAACAACACAGCCAAATTTTTAGTTAGAAGACCTAGATAAATTGGGATCGTATCACCTCTACCCCAATATTTTTTTCTACCAAGAAAAGTATAAGAATAAAGTAGATAAGTTTGACAAACAAAAAACAACAATCAAGGAGTCTAGACTTCTTGAAAAATTAAAATATTTATTTTTTGCACAACCTAGGCTTATCAAACAAAATACTCAGAACTTGAGCTATTAATGTTGTTAAACTTGTGGCATCCTGAATGCCAGTTACAATCACTTACTAGAAAATATACTGGCCTGCCTCTCAGGACAAATTTGATCTCCTTCAGGAAGTGCTTTATATTCAACATTGTCAAGAGATTCACTTTGCATGGTAATGTAACCAGGATAAGGATTTAGATTAGGAACATAAACCAGCAGAAGGAACCCAAATAAAACCTATATCAGAAAATTAAACATGAATTAATGTAATTTTCATTCTTTAAAATGACTTTAAGGTAAATTCCAACAACAAGCCCTATGTCATAGATAAATGCCCATTGCCATCTTTTTCTTTGATATAAAAAGTGCCCTAGGTCCATCTCAGTTGGTAAATAGCTATAAAATTTAATTTTACATTATATCCCTAGCAAGGATGGGCACCCTGATCTACGCTTCAATACCAGATTACTACTAGGTCAGGTCACAAGAAATTCCGATGGCCAAACGAAAACCAGGGCAGGCCAGATCTTTGGGCTGGTCTCACTGATTAGGCAGAACTTGCTTTAAGAATATTGACAATATGAGCCCCTTCTAGGAGATAGGGGAGAAGATCCCACATTCATATCAACATGAGAAAACTCCGAAAGTGGTCCTAGCATGTGTTTGGAAGTAAGACTACCAAAAGATCCATAACCTTTACAATAATAAAAAGATGAAGGAGTTAGATTAAAGGGTGGGGATGTCCAACAAACCTCACATAAAACCATGCTGATGTACAAATATAGGGCAGATCTGCATGCAAAAAATATTGGGGTTATTGGTTGCATGTCAACATGATAGATGTCTACTCCAGAAAGAATGCATGAATTCTCACATAAAAACATAATCAAATGGGGAAAAAATGGGGAAAATAAAAACAAACAAAAATTGTTTACACTTGAGGTATAAGAAGAAACTAAATTAATTAGTGGGGAAATCTGACCCATTATACAAATCCCTCATTGGAAGAACAGCATTGAGCAGTGCAGCATCCCCAACCAAACCGTAAACAACTCCAAACCGCACATACCAGCGAAACTCTCTGATGTAAATTTTAGTTTCCAGTCCAATCATAATGACCATGCAGCTCCAAGCAAGAGCTTCAATGATCAAAGAAGTTGCCTGCGAGAGAATAAGTTGTAAAGAAAAAGTTTATCTGAGTAGCCATGTTGAAAGATAAATACCAAACTAACAAGTCTAAAAATTAATTGTGGACAATTAACTAGAACAGTTTGAAGGATCATCCCACCTCAAAGGGAGCAAGCCCAGTCCCTCCATCCAAATTAAAGATTGAAATACTCATGATCAACCTTGAAAGAGGCTCAGCAACACAATAACCAGCCAATAATCCCAACACATAATTATACCAATTTGATCTCAAACAGAACCTTCTGGCTTTGGCATTCTTCTTAATCAGCCATATCCGGTATAAGCAGAGCCCAAAAAGAACCAGATGAGAAATGGAAATCACCAGGGAATCAACTGCACAAGGTGTGTATGCACCAAAAGAACTATCAGCCTTTTTTGTCCAGACACCATTAGCAACTGGCCGGCAATACCAATTCAATAGTTCAGAACCCATCTTTAATCACCACCCTGAACAAGTTCAAGACCAATTAAACAGCTTTTCACTTAGTTCTTCTTTCACATGAAAAAATTATGGGTGTATAAGAAAGTTTCGTGCTTGAAACCAAAGCAATGTAAAATCCAAAACAGAAATATCAGCAACGTTATTTTCCGAGAAACCAAGCAGAACATAGAACATGCAACATGGAATATCGAACAAGAACAACAAATTACCACCAATAATGACACCCTCTGTCCCAGGACTGTTTTTGCTTACTTGTGCTGCTTCAAGGTAGGATTAAACCTTGAAGAGGATTAATCATGTGTATGGGAGTCCACAGAGAGAGTGTCACGCAGGGTTCGTTATATATAGTTTGCAGAAAGAAGTGGGAAAAGAAGAACTTGTAAAGAGAGGGGCCCAAATGACAGACAATGAGTAATTGCTAGCGTCATGCGTGACGCCGGCAGCCGCATTTAAGAATTCGATAATGGAGAAGAAATCACAGTTTCAGTGAGAAAGAAAGCTCCATTTTTTGCTATTTTTTATGCCAAAGAAAAGGATTTTTTTTATAGTAATTATGGGATGTACCCGAGGGAGGGAAGACATGTTGATAAAATCAAGAATCTTATGGTTGAAAGTGATTTTTTTATTTTTAGCTCAAATGGTTGAAAGAGGGAAAAGAGGCTTTAAATTCTAAGTTATA